ATTTGATATAATCACACTAGCATCGCTACAAGATTGTTTAGAATCATATAGGATTATACAGAAATGCATAGACTCTCTACAAGATCGTACCAGGATCATAATAATATATAGTACTATTGCAACATCTGAAAATGAATGATTGGGTGATGATTTCGATAATCTCTCTTTTGAATGGATAATAGTACAACTAGGAAAATGGTTGGATGTTCTAGGATATGTCGAATGTTCTTCCACAAAACACCTTGTTGTGGACTACGAAGTAGTTAAAAACTTATTTTTAACTTTTTATTGTGTGTTTATAGCTAGTTATTGACTTATATTTATTACTTTGTTCATAGATATTTATTTTATCATTTTTTTAGTATTTTAAACCATTATTTAGTAGGATATTACAATCCTCAATCCAATCCAACACTCCAATCAGCAAAACCCTCTACCGATTCAATCCAAAATTACGACCTTGACAACCATGTATAGGGAAGATGTTAAAGTTTTAATGTTGAATCAACTTGATAAAGCATAAAAAGAGGCAGAACAAGCATGACCAAAATGAAGGCCAATATCATGGAGACAGATCAGCATACATTTCTTGTCTCATTGGTTCGATTTCTCCCAGAGGCGATGACTGCATGATCCTCGACAACATCAACTGACCAAGTGAACATAGAAAGTGAAAGAGAATAACATGACTAAGTGTCAATCTATAAATCTTGTTTAAAAAATGAAATCCAGGTCTCATCAATCAATTCTAACTACAGAGGGCTGATTGGAGATCCTAGAAGACTTATATTGTAGACATTTAGCCCCAGTTTGAGCCCCATTTTTTCAAAACTCATTTTCAACCACGCATTCTCCCATAAAATAATTACAGACGTATTTCAAAAACTTTTTCTTACTTTTTAACCCTACATTCTCCAAAAAATCACTATTCCATAATACGTTTTATCTCAAAAATGGGAATCAAACAGGGGCTTAAATTTAAAATATATAATTGCATCTTAATATTGGCACTAATTTATCCAGATGCATGATACATCAATGAACATTTTATAATGAAAAAGCTATTACTGAAATTCACTCCCAAAACCTAAAATGTGTGTAATTAAAAGCTATAAGGAAATAGCAGAACGACAAGCTTACCTGACAGGTACTTCAAGCCTGTCTAAGGCAAGCTTTGCCTGGCGGAAGATGAGTAGGCATTAGAAAATAATAAAACTTCATACATAAATAAATTATTATTGCATGTTAGAAAAATGATACAAAATTACACTTGGAATGAAAGATATAATTCTGACACTTCAATTACTGTGCAACCTCAGAGCTAAGAATTTACAACCCATACATCATATATTAAGATTCCCTTTTGCAATTTTGCTTTCATATTAACTAACTCCATTTACTATGCCTAGTATCAATGATATTCATTTGCAGTCTTATAGTCAAAACTTCAAATTATCATTTGATATGAACTCCAAATATTTGATTACATCTACTGCAAAAAAATAGAACAGTAATTTGGAAAAAATTCAAATTTTATGTCAACTAACTTTTTTGAAATTTATCAACATTTGGAAACAGAAGAAACCCATAAGTTGGGTGCCAAAAATCAATATGCCTCAGCAAGAATAAGTTTGGTCTAACAGCTGTTCTATAGCAAGGTTATTAAACGAAGTAGTATCTTCCTGTGTCTCTACCATCTGCGTAAAACGAGGACAAAAGAAAACAACAAACATCAAAAGTCATATTTGTCATACTTTTTCTTGTTTACAGAATTGAATTCTCACAGGAATTTTCACTAACATATCAAAAGTTCCAAACTTTGTATTACACAGCCACAATTTCTTGACACCAATTCCCACCGCCTACATAACTTATATGATATACACGTATGACAAAAATATGTATATGCGAGGACTTGTTTATACACCTAAGTTATGAAACTAAAAATTAATAGCAGTAATCACAGTTCACTGCCACTCAAATTATATAATAGTTAACCTCCATAATTATGAAAATACACAATAAATACTCCATAATAGACTAAAGAAAATTCTAAAACAGAAATAATGCTGATTGCAGAGGAGAAATAGATTCAAGTACAAAAAAGGGTAGAAGCAAATTTTAATAGCATGGACAGAAATATAAATTGACCTATACTTGCTCTAGGAAACTGAAAACACACGTATGAATCACAATCAGTGGTGCAACACATGAGAAGAAAATATCCAAACACAACCGCACACCTTGCATACGAAATTCGGTGTGGAAAAGCTTTCTTATTGGAATTCTCCCTCGAGGTGAACATTGATGGAGGCGGTGCAACTCTTTGGTCAACGATGCAGAGGTATTGGTGTTGAGTTGGAATCTTGGAGAGTTGCCGTTGAGTTTGGAGTTTTGGCATTAAATTCACTTGCCATTTGAATTTTCCGTTCAAACTTCAGTTTGGATTTCTGATAGGATGATTTCGGTTACATGGATTTGAATCTCCGTTCATATATACTGGCAAGTGCAAATTTTGTAGCAATTTGTTCCAGTATCCTCGAAAATATCATGGTTCTCGCTCGTGATTAGGAGCTTAGGTTTAAAAAATGTTATACAAAATTATTCTTTCGCTTAAGAGTGTCTAGATTTTCGACATTTTTTTCCCATTGATTTTGGGTGGCACTGTTGAGTTGTTTAGAAAATCCGTGCTTGTTAATTTGTTTGGGCACCGATTTTAAGTGGTTTAAAAACCATCCAGAAATGGTACGGTGTAATTTTAATCTATTTTCTCAACCCATCAACTTTACGAGTTTTTGTCGCTTCTTATATTCTTTTAAAATTTTAGCCTTTATAAAATAATTATTTTCAAACAATATATTTTCTTCAAAACTAATTTTTAAATAAAAATTTATTACTAAAAATTTATTTTAAGCAAAAAAATACTTATAAGTAAAATATTACCTAGAAGATAAGAAAAATTACATAATAATAAAAAAATTACTTAAAAGTAAAAAATCACTTTTACGTAAAAAAAAATTGTTTATAAAATAAAAATACTACTAATTAGATAAAAACCATTTATAAAATATAAAAAAGTTACTTATAAGTAAAAAAATTCACTTAAAATTATTTTAAAGTATAAAATTATTTTATAATTGTAAAATTTACTTGTAAGTAAAAAATATTTACTTAAAATTTTAAGCAAATATTTAAATTTATTTAATTTTTGAAGTTAAATATTAACTTATATGCGAAAAAAATTACATACAAATAAAATATCACTTATGATGAAAAAAAATTCATATAAGAAATAATAAACTATAAATTTTACTAAGGGACATGTATATAATTTTATTCTTTTAAAAAACTTTTAGAATCGGAGGAAAATAAACTTTCAAACATGGGTTGAATAGTTTTAAAAACCACTGCTAAAACCACTCAAAACTGATCCGCTCATATGCATTCAAAATTGGTACTTTAAAAAAGGCTCATAACCGGTAGCCAAAACACTCAAGCAAACCCTTAAAATAATGTTTCAAGTGACTTTTTAAATTAACATTTTAATTTTGTTCTTTAATTAAATACATTTAAAATATTTTAATTTTCAACAAACAAAAATAATAAAATAATTTAGAGGGAAACTAGTAAAAGTAAAAGATAAGAAAAAACAATTAATATTTTTTGAAAGTAGTAAATTAAGTGTTAGACTTAAAAAATTTTACTCTTTAAATTATAGAATATATTCTTTAAAAATAGATAGCTTCTTAAAGAAACCTGCTCGATAACTTTTTCATTGGGTAACGTTAATAATTGTTTCGTAGTGAATTACTAAATAAGAGCAAAATCTTATCAGATCAATTACCTGAGTTCAAGTCTCACAAAAAAAGGAAAAAAAAAAAGTAATATTGTGTATCATAGATTTCAGGGTACATTTCAATCATCGCCTCCAACCTTTTACCTTGTTCGCAATATCACCCTCAACTTTATGTAGTATCAACCTTTGTTAATTAGCTGCATTCGTTCTTATGACGATTTTACCTTGTTTTGATATAAAAAGTCAAAATTTTGTATTGTAACTAGTAATATTTCTAATAGATTCAAGCTCAATCCCAACGCTGCAATTATAACGACTAAGGGAGGTATTAGTGCTAGTGATGTGATATGAGAAGAACAGGGAACAATTGTGGCAAAGTTAGTCAAAATGTATAGTTGGCTCTCTTCCGATCGGGGATGATGAGCGTTATGTGCTTTAGGATGGCCACCTCGCTCAACAGCTTGGCTATTATATTGACATTGCATAATGTGATTCTCTGTGTCCTCAAGCAAATTTTTCTTTTGCGCCAAATGTTACTGTTGACAACCCGTGCGAAACAGTTACCATTTAATTTCGCTTTGACAACTTGATTTATGGTTCGTGTCACTTTATTATTGCAGTTGGTAATAAAATGGACAATGAGTTGGTATAGTTTGCTACTCTAGTCTAGTTCATGAGTTATATATTATGAGTAATGATACTTGCAGTCGCTCACTGCAGCAGTCGCCTTATGTGATATATACATGGCATGTAATTATTTGATGCATTAATGTGGTAGTTTTTTATCATATTTAATGCATCAAATACACACTTGACATGTGTGTGCCAAATAGGGCGACTGCTGCAGTGAGCGACTGNAGTAGCATTATTCTATAGACTATAGTTGGTCTGTCGTGTTATTGCATCTTCAGTTTGCGGTGATTTAAGTTGATAAAAATTACATTTTTATGCCGGTAACTAAAAACAAAAAAAAATTGTTCCTACGCAAGCATGTTTTGGCCTCCTCACACTATTGTCTCATCCATAAACAGGTTGCGCAATATACTACGCGTATCCTTCCCATTAGGCCTTATCACTTCTATCTTCTTCACCTCAAACTGTTATCTACAAACGCTTAATTTGTGATACCGAGTTATTTGCCTATTGAGTGCTAGTGTTTCTATCCATTACAGCAGAGAAAAAGCGGAGAATTAAGAGCACAGCTATGCCCACTTTGAATTTGTTTACCAACATCCCAGTTGATCCAGTGGTTGCCTCTGATGTTCTTAAAGATGCCACCAAAGCTGTTGCCAAGATTATTGGCAAACCTGAATCTGTTAAGTCCCCATTTTCGAATGTGTTTACTTATGCTTGTATGTGCAGAATTTTGGTGTCCATGTTAGTGGGTTCTGGTGCATGCATATAATTGATTGCCAGTTGTTTGATAATATTACTCTTAGAAAAGGAAACTGCTTTTCTGCTGGGAAAGAGTTTTTTCCTTTTTTTTTTCTTTTTTAGTTGTGTGTCTACTTGTAAAAATTAATTGTTAGAAAATTCTGTCTTGGAATGGTTCTTGTGGAGTCCAAGCTTACAGTATTTCATATTTCAACAGGAATGACCATTTATAGTTTAGAAATCAATAATGTTGACGCAACAAACCAGTCTGTGATAGAACTCATGAAATTGTGCCCTTGTTTGAGCCCCATTTTTTTAAGAACGCATTTTTTCAGAACTCATTTTTAACCTCACATTCTCCCATAATATAATTATACACGTATTTGAAAAACTTTTTCTTATTTTTTAACCACACATACTCCAAAAAATCACTATTTCATAATGTATTTTACCCCAAAAATGGAAATATGATAGTAGGAACATTCTTTTGTTTATGTAATTTCTTGATTTTGTTCTGCAGTATGTGATGATATTGTTAAATGGAGGGGTTCCAATTGCATTTGCCGGGACTGAAGAGCCATCTGCATATGGGGAATTGATCTCCATTGGGGGGCTTGGACCTAGTGTCAACGGCAAGCTCAGCTCAACCATCGCAGAGATTCTTGAAACCAAACTCTCTATTGACAGCTCTCGGTTTTATATAAAATTTTATGATGTTCAGGTAAATTATTTAACATGATAAGAAAGGTGTCTTGTCTTGTATAACTGAAATATCTTGAATGTTTGTTTGATCTGAACTCAAATAGACGACCATCCTAATGAACAAGAAGTGACCACAAATTGTGCAGCTTTCTTCTTGGGGTTTGGAGCTAAAACTACACATATGATTATGCCACTGGGGTATGGGATTGTCTTTGATCCTCTATTCCTTTCAATTCATATTGGAGGGACATGAAGTTAGATTTATTTCACAAAAGCCTTGCCAACGTCCTTACTAGAAAACGTAAATGTTTTGATTGGTTTATTATCGATTAAATATGAATGGTGGGAAACTTGTATGTTAGTATATAATCGTGATGCTTCTTCTTAATGTATTGATCTCTTTGTGACTATTTTTTCTCCAACTATCTATTTGAATCAATATATTACAACTAATTTCATCGTTTGAAGTTAAGAGGATAAAGGTACTTACCCAGTTTTATGATCTTGTGTTCAGCGCTCATTCTTTGGGTTCAACGGCTCAACATTTTGACTGAAGGAACATAGAAGATGCTGAGAGTTGAAAGATTGCCCTCAAACTTGTCGTGTCCTCTCAAACAAGAGAATAAGTATTCATATGCCATGATTGCTTCATTGGTGAAGAAACATATTCCTTCTCTGTATCTTGGTAACCATTTTGTTACTTAATGGTTCACTTCGTCTCATCTTAAATGCTTGAGCCTTAAAAAGGTTTGTTTCCTCTAGATTCGATACAATCTTGGAGCACTGGTTAATTCAAATTTAGTATCCTTGCAAGTTGCTTCTGATTATTTATCTGGTATTATACTAGTAATTCCCGTATTTTAATCAAATTCAGTAGCTGGTTTTGGCTCTTCATAGCAATGAGCCACCATAGTAACATTGTGAATAAGTTGCCTAATTTCAGTTTCTCTGGATGAGAAACTGAAGAAAATGGAGAATGAGATGCCTTATTTTGCTACTGCCACTATATTTTTGCGTAAATCCTGTGTTCTTTATTAAACTATCTGATCCCATTCACTTTTACTAATACAAGAAAATAAAAGAAAGTCTCCCTTACTATTTGTAAAATGTTAAAGCTTGATAGTCGTAAACTATATTTTAAACTGTTTTGAATTGTAACTTATTTCATTGTGATTTGGTGTCCAAAAATTGTACTTCAATTATTTTGGTACGGAGTCATCTACAAATAGTTTATAAGGGTTAGAGACACGTGCAGCTGTTTTCTCTATAATACCAGCGTGCTTATTACAAATTTTGTCCTCCTCAAATTTTTAATTTGACAAATGTTTAACAAATGTTTAAATTTTCACCTTCTCCAATATTTGGAAATTTTGAAAGTAGGTCTATACTAACTTGATCTAATCTTTTATGCCATAATCAAGTATCATATTTTAAACTTGGTAAACATTTTTCTCCGCATTTAAACTTTTGGTCCGTTTGAT